CGGTGGGATCGCCTTAGGCAGTCTAGCCAGGGGCTTTCTGCATGCCAGCTGGGCTTCTAATAGGAACGGATGCTTCTGGGCTTGTGGCCTCCCGAAGTTGGAAGTAGAGTTTATTACTTCCCACCAGGTCTTTCCCCCACAGACTTAGCCAGTAAGTTAAGTTAGTTTTGAATCCACAGGAGCCCAGCGGGGAGGAGCCAGTACCTAGGTTTATGTCCTGGACAGCCCCTTCGGACCTTGGTGTGTGTGTGTGTGTGTGTGTGTGTGTGTGTGTGTGTGTATTGGGGGTGGTGGTGCTGGCAGTAGGTTAAGCCCTAGATGAGAGGGAAGACCAAGGTGAGCTCTGGCTAAACCAGGAGAGTCTTAGGACCCCCTTCCACAATGCTCTCTGACACCTATGTCTCTATTACCGAAGCAGGGGGTTCCAGAAACCACACAGTCTGGGAATCTGGACATGTAGAGATGCTGGCCAGTGACCTAAAAGGTTGCAGAGGTACCTGGCTGGGGTGCGGTGGTGGGGTGTCTGCCATAGGATATATCCCCACAACAGAAATCTACTCATTTTCAAGAGCGTTCCTCTCTTTTCATGGCTTTTATGCCCCTCCCCCTTTTCTTCCAGACCTTCTGGTGGGAATGGTTGGAGGTGGAGGGTGGTGCAGAAAGGCCACGGGAGACTTGCTTACCCGCTTTCACGGAGCAGTGGATGTGGGCTTTGGACTCATAGTAGACCCAGTCGAAGCCAGCCTCCACAGCCAGGCGAGCCAGCATGCCATACTTGCTGCGGTCCCGGTCAGACGTGGTGATGTCCACTGCTCGGCCCTCGTAGTGTAGAGACTCCTCTGAATGGTGGCCGTCCTCATCCCAGCCCTCAGTCACTCGCAGCTTCACGCCCGGCCACTGGTTCATCACAGAGATGGCCAAGGCATTTAGCTTGTCTTTGCACCTCTGTTGGGAGAAGGAGGAAGTCTAAGTGACAAATACCTTAGTTGGTAGTTTCTCTACCAACCACAGACCTGGGACCCTGGGGTGGAGGCATCGCTGCTGCAGGAGAGGCGGGTTCTCCAGGAAACCAGCTGAGGGCCTGTCTCCAAGGCAGAAACTTAGATGCAGCTACATGGCCAAGGAATAAGAGCAGCTTTTCCTTGAGTGGGATCCCAAGTGTATCTCTTTAGTGGGGCAGAACTTCTGGTGCACTTTAAGAACCGGAAACCCTGCATTATTTGTGGAGGCCAGGCCTGCCTGGCCTGAAGAAAGCCAAGGCAACACTGAGGGGTAAGAAGCAGCCCAAGGACAAGCAAGCAGGTGAATGCGGGTGTCCAGCACAGGCAGGGCCAGAGGACAAACATTCTTGGTTCAGGCAGCCACATTCTTTCCCCCAAGGAGCTCCTCTCTGCCAGGCTTGTCTGGGGCCTGATTGTATTCGTGTTTTCTTTGACCGGTTCTCTTCCTCCCCTCTTGTTTTCTTGGCCCTGCACAGAATGGTGTCCGGCAAGTTTGAAGAGCAAACTTAAGAAGTGAATGGGGGTGGGGTGGGAAAGGTAGGGGGATGGGGAGCCAGAAAGGCCCAAGGCTTCCGAGCTCTGCCCAAGAGGAGGTCGGCTGTGGAACTCATGTTACTCCACTCCTGCCTTGCAGGGCAAGGTGGAACTTGGGATAGTGGGGGGCACTCTTGGCCCACATTTTAAAAAAGGTGTAATAAAAGGGAAGGAGCTGAGTCCTGTGTGTGTGTGGGGGGGCAGGAACTCATTGCTTGGAAGTTTATGGTGGCATGTTGATTGGGGCTTTGTGGCTGGAGACAAAATGGCAAGGGCACATTACCCAGAGAACTGGACCCCAGTGGAGGCAGGGATGATTTCAAATTGACTTCTGCAGAGGGTAGGGCTGATCGCCCACAATCCCTTAGGCTGAGAGGATTTCGGGCAGGTTGCAGGGGTGGGAGAATGACCCCTAGATGACAGACTCTAACTGTAGCCAGGAGGACTCTTGAAAGGACTGTTGCCCAGGCCTTTGGGGACAGACAAAAGGAAAAGTCATGTATACCTGGCAGCAGTAAAGCCCAGGAATATGATTGTAGAGTTAAACACACAATAAATAGGAGGGGTGTAGTAACAACAGGTCCGCTCTGGCAGGTTTCTGGGCCTGCCAGCGGTTTTTCTTTAGGAGAAAAGTCCAAAGGACAGAGTTAGAGTGAGGTCACCTTAGGGACTGAACGCGTTTCACATGAAAATCAATAAGTAAACCTGGGTCAGTTTAAAACTGAGATTCGAAGTCACTGCGCGCAGGCGCACACCACGGTACGCGCAGCTTATCTCCTCCTTCATTCCTGCTCGTACTCCACCCGCTCCCTTCTCTCAGCAGGGGGAAGCCAGCGAAGTAGCTTTAACAAGCTGCCTATCCCGCAGCAGGGGCAAGCTAGGGTAGGTTGAAGAGGGCTCCGGAGCTGCACCACTAGGGCAGACGCGGAGAATCCCAGGCAAAGAACTCCGGGCAGAGATGGGCCCTCGACTCGGACAGGCCAACGCCGATTGTCGCCTGAGTTGGCACCCGGTGCCCCACAGCCCTCCCCCGCACCAGGCCCTGCGCGACTCTGCAGGCAGATGCAGGGTACTCCCCCGCCCGCACTGGGAGGGAATGTCGCAGGCAAAGCCTGGAAGCTCAGCCCGGTTATTAATTCATTGGGTCGTGTGCCGCTAATCAAGCCCGACTCTGTGCAGCCACCGTGAAGCCCGGCAGGGTCACTGGGGCCCGGCTTTGTGTCTGCGGAGGCCAAGTTGTTCCTGGGCCTCCAGCCCACCTCCCGGATCTGCACACCGGTGCAGTTCATGAGCGCAGAGCAGGCAGGGACTGTCACCTCCAAAAGTGGGCTTCCCACATTGTGAGAGAGGCGGTGACCCACTTCAAGAGACTGTACTTTCTAAACACACCCCACTCCGTTCTTCCCCTCACGGGGGCGGGGACAGACCCCACTCTTCAGATCCACACCTGGTCTCCTCTTCCCAGCTAGCACCGAAGCACGCAGGGGACGTATTCAGCCAGGTTCCTCAGGTGGTTCCCCCTCCCCACCTGAGCCGGCAGAGCCCTCAGATCAGGCCCCTCGCGGCCTCCCACCCCAGGCCCCCTGGCCATGGGCACAACAGCCTGGCACTCTCTGGGGCCTGGCCTGCGCAAGGAGAGTGTCTGTCTGCGCTTCCCTCTCTGGAGTTAATATTAACCAGGAGCTCCCGCGATCCAGAACTGCTCTGAAAGTTCCACTGGGGACGATCCTGCCATGGTTGAGGGACTTGGGCTCAGTCACCTTAGAGAGACAGACTGGGAGGCAGGCGAGACTGAAGAGAGGGCTCAAGAGGGGCTGGCCGATGGCAGGTTCCCAGGAGAATGCTCAAACCCTGAGCCCGAGATCCTCTGGTTTCACCCCTTCACCTCTAACCTTCCTCCCGTTCCCTCTCAACTCTGCCAACCCGGAATAAGAGGCTGGTGAGGGTTGTACCAAGGAGAACTTCCAGACTGCCACCTTTACAGCCATCTTCATCTTTTGGGGGGAATCTTTGCGGGGTGGGTGAGAAGATCCTGGCCTGGCCTTCCCCACCCCCACTTCTGCTTCTCTAGCCTTTTTGTGTTGGGAACCAGAATAGACACTGCCCAAGGGAAAAAAGTATTTGTTTTCGTTTCGTTCGTCTGAAGGAACTTGACAGAAGGTCAGAAGTTCAAATGCTGCTCGCGCGCGCACACAGCGGCGGCGGCGGCGG